AACCAACCTCAATAATCTCAGACTTATGTACTTACTCCCATTCACCTCCAAACTACTAAAACCTTATATACAACCGTCTGAGCCGCCACCTGGCTAATAACATTCTGGACCCATTACAGTCCGGCGTTCGCCCTGTACACTCCACTTAAACCGCCATCCTAAAACTCACTAATGATTTACTAACAGTTAAAAACAATGGCCACTATTCCTTACTCTTGCTATTAGACCTTTCTGCTGCTTTTGACACTGTGGACCACCTGCTCCTCCTCAAAAAAACTCCACTCATTTGGCCTACAAGATTCTGCTCTCTCATGGTTCTCCTCCTACCTAAGTGCTTCTTTAGTAGTTACAACTCTAACTCCTCCCCTCCTCTTCCTCTTTCTGTAGAGGTCCCCCAAGGCTCTATCCTTGGAACCCTTCTCTTCTCTATCTACTTCTCCTCCTGTGGTCAGTTAAAAACCTAACATAGCTTCCAATACCATCTCTATGCCGATGACACTCAAATATATCTTTCTACTCCGCAACTCACCCTCTCAGTGTCCTTGCGTGTCACTAATATACTAACTGACATGTCAGTGTGGATGTCACAACACTTCTTAAAACTCAACCTTTCAAAAACTGAGCTCATGATATTTCCTCCCGCCCGTGCACCTTCCCCCAACTTTTCCCTTGAGATTGATAACACAACAATCCATCTCTCCCCACATGCCAAGGTACTAGGTGTCATCTTTGACTCGGACCTCACCTTTCTTCACCGCATCCAATCCCTATCCAAATCCTGTCGCCTTCACCTTCGTAATATCTCCAAAATATGCCCCTTCCTCACCAATGAAACCTCAAAACTACTCATTCACTCCCTTGTTATATCTCGTCTTGACTATTGCAACTCCCTCCTCATTGGCCTTCCACTACATAGGCTATCCCCCCTTCAGTCTATCATGAATGCTGCTGTTAGACTCATCCACCTAACCAACCACTCAGTGTCTGCAACCCCTCTCTATCAATCCCTCCACTGGCTTCCAATAGTCCAAATGATAACATTCTAAATATTAACAACCACTTACAAAGCCATCCACAACTCTGCCCCAGCTATATCTCAAACCTTGTCTCAAAGTATCACCCTAACCGTCCCCTCCGCTCTTCCAAAGACCTCCTGCTTTCCAGCTCCCTTGTCAACTCCTCCCATACTCACCTCCAGGACTTCTCTAGAGTCTATCCCATCCTCTGGAACTCTTTACCCTAACCTGTCCGTCTATCTCCCACTCTGACTGCCTTTAGGCGATCCCTAAAGACTCATCTCTTCAGAGAAGCCTATTCCTCTTCTTACTAACCATTGAACCATCACATTCTCAATATGTCCATGCCCACACAGCTACCTCCTCATGTACCACTTGCCCCTCCCTTTCAGATTGTAAGCCCTCAACGGAAGCGCCCTCCTTACGATCTTGTCTTGAATTGTATTTTAATTGTAATGTCTTCCTTATATTGTAAAGCGCTGCGCAAACTGTTGGCGGTATAAAAATCCTGTATTATAATAATAATATTCACACCTTGCGTTTTAGATGCTTTTATCTGCAGTCAGTTTAGCTGTGTTTAGAAAAAAGAGAAGTCAGGTGCGTCCAGGAATTGATTTGAACTTCTAAAGGCACCAAAACACATGTAAAGGCAAGACGGGTTTATTTGCTGACATCTCATTGGCTACTCCTATGAATGATTTCCATGGACAAAGGACAAATGCATCTAAACGCATATGTGTGTAAACACGCATAATTTTAAGCATATAGAAGCATAAACAAAGCATCAGGCCTGACAGATTTTGCAGACAGACCTCTGCATAAAAACACAAGTGGCAAGTGTGAATGAAGCCTTAGGCTGACCCTAAAATGTAACTACTGCACCGAACGGAACCCTAAAGCTGGGTATACACTGATGTTTTTGTGAATGTTCATTTGAAAAATTGTACCAGAACTTTCAATAATGCCATCAGAGATTTGTAGAATGTCGTTTGAATTTTGATTTTAACATTCGATTGCGATGAATGAGTTTCACAAACAAAAACCACCTTCGTGATTGTGAACTTAACCCCATTAACTTTTAGAAAATTGAACAAATGTTCCAAAAACAAATTTTTGCAAACAAAATTCTACTGGTGTATGGCCAGCTTAACCCTCAGGCCTTGTTCACAGCAGACACAGTGCGTTCCCGGGCCGATTCTGTCCGGAACGCACTGCATCGCGGCCGGCTCACTATGTTGTGGGGTGGGGGGTGTGGCGGTCCATTGAAGTGAATGGATCGGTCGTATGGGAACGCAAGGCACATCAATGCCTGCAGTCTGGTCCGGTCCGAACAAAATGCTGCAAGCACTATTTTATTCGAGCCCGACCGCAGACATTGTAATTGTGTGCCTTGCGTTCTCGTGCGGCCGATCGCATTAAGGGTGTGGCTAGGGTGCCATTCACTTCAATGGACCGCCACGCCCCCTCCTACCCCACAACATAGTGAGCCGGCTGCAATGTGATGCAGTGGGTTCCGGCCAGAATCGGCCTGGAACGCACTGTGTCTGGTGGGGAAGAGGCCTTAAACAGGAATTAAACTCTGTAAAAAAATAAATAACAGGTAGTGTTTAGGTAGAAGAAGCTTTCTCTTCTGTGAAAAAAAGCTCCTTCACCTAGCAAATGCAATGCAGTGTACATTCCTGGCTAAATCCTGGCAATTGAGAGATGTTGAGCCCTATGCATGGTATGATGTAATCCAGTGCACATATGCAGGAGATACATCAATGGGCAAGGAGAAAATACACCATGCTGGAAGATGGCCAGGAGAAGGTGACAATGGTGGCATACGGTGCGATGAGGGAGTGCAGACCCATCAGAGATGGAGAAAGTCTGTCATAATGTATAAGAAACTGTGCACATAGAAGTCGACTTGGCATCCTAGCCTCTGGAATTTTCTACATTTTGTTTGAATGGCTTCTAAAATGTCTTCTGATCATCCGTGATATATTAATCATTAATACATCATTTACATGGCCAAATGCCTATTCAACATATGGCTGACACAATTAAAGATGTTGAGAACAAAAGAAAAAAGTGTGTGTGAACCTAAAGGATAATGGTAAAAAAGGATATAAAGTCAGGTACTTCACAGGGGAGGAAGTTCTCTATGATGTGGTAGTGTTGGACCATGCATGCAGTGGAACTTTGGTGTAAGATGAACATGGTCTCTCAGCTGCCTGCAGGGAAATTATCTTTCTTTGATTTGCTGGGTCATTTTTGTTTTAGGGCTGAATTCCTGACAGGTCGAATACTGATATACTAATTTCCATGTTATTGATGCAGTTACTCTTTTTTTTTGTGATTTC